TCTAAGACCAGTAGTCACCTATATGACAGATGACATCTAAATTAATCATGCTTCAGAGTGTTCCTGGGACACATTAAAATAACTGCAGGGATGCATGCTATCTTTAGTAAGGATGTGGAAGTGATTTTTGTTGAACATATATGCTCAGAGATACTTGGGACTGAAGTAGACATATAATCTCCCCAAACTGCATTTTAAAAATGAAGAACAGCATTATTTAGAGACAAGATTACCTATTTGCACATTTTGTCTAAGGAAAGGGAGAAAGCACCCGTACAAAACGTAGTTTTCCTGATTTTTTTTTAAAGTTCCTTCCATTCTCTCTGACTTCTTATCATGCAGAAGGAAAAGTAGAACAGTTTGGAAGGGATGTTATGGGGAAGATGGTTAAAACTCCTCTTCTCTAGTAATGCTGCTGAGACCAAACTAACAACCAGGGCCTCAGTAAGCTCACGTCTGCATTTCATTAAAAAAGAAAATGGGAGAACCAACCATGGATTTCCTCCATGAAGTGGTTTCTCTGTAACTCAATATTGCTCATCCTTCTAAGATGCTGAAGTACTTATACCATAATCTTTAATTTTGTCCAAACTCCCAGCGGGACCTTTTCAGTCAAGTCCTATGTAACATATTTTGGGGGTGGAGTGATCCAAATAATAATAATCATATTAATTAAAACATAGTGAACATGATTCAACTAATTTGAAGAAATTTCAGACTTTGCTGATTTTCATTGGGATGCCTTTTAAAAATTTCTTGTTGAAATCAATAGCCCAAGCCTGGGACAAAACAGTTTTCTGTACCATATATTTAAATTAATCACCAAGGATTTTTCTACACTGCGTTATTTATACCAATGTTACTGTCATAGCTTACATGAAAGAATCTTGGGATTTTCTGATAAGTGTGCAAAATGTTTGTGGAATACTCCTCAGAAATACAGTTTCCAGAATTTTCTAGGGTTAGAAGTTGATTATTTTAATATCTTTGAAAATAAATCCTGAATGCTTTTTCATACCTATGTAGAAGAAATGCACAGTACAATCATTCATGTACATGCAGTCACGTTCCTGCTTACTGAGACATAAATCCCATTTGGATTCAATAAGTAGATACAGACCTCAACTACTATCTAACAATTCTTGCCTAGATAATCTTGCGACTTTATTTTTATTCTTTTGACTTTTTGACAGTTAACAAAATGTACTACAAATGTCATATATCATAGGTTAGTTACCTTCCTATGTGAAATAAAAACAAGTACTATTTCAAAGGACATAGAAGGAATGGGGATCTTTTGCTTGTCTTATTTGTCACCCTTCCTCTTATTTAGTAAAATGATGCTGAATTACTGTTATGAAAGGTTGAAGAAAATAGCTACAGTCAGACGTAATCCAGGAATGTGCTGTGCAAGCTTCTATCCACAGCTCTGTCAATGCCCTTTAATTCATCTATTATTCTGAACTTGGCTGCTTGCTCTTGACTGATGATGTTTTCACTCTCTGGTGCTGAACTGTGAATGGGTTACTTATGAAAAGTGCCAGACTGGTAATCCTGGAATATGAAGTTATTGATTCAACCATGTAAAGAATAGACAAACATTTTGGAAGCTTAATACACTGTCCCACAAAATAACATGAGGATGACAGAGATAGCTTCCATAGTATCAGGAGCATAGAACATTTTTTGGCTTTGAGGATCGCATTGTCAGCTTGGGATCTATGCATGGTACATGCTCATATACATAATTTCTGGAGCTGAGCAAAGGCTTCAACCTTACCTTCATCCCAGCATTCCTACACAACATAATTTGGGTGTAAAAGAGCTACATTTGGATGACTGTAGAAGAAGACAGCTAAAGTCTCCTTTCCCCCAACTCAGTCCCAATCAGTACTGCTTGCTTACCACTATTAGTCGCTGAGGGAGGAGATGGCTTGGTGTCCCTTCATGGTGTTGCTGTCTCCATGCCACCATTAGTAAAACAGAAGCACCAATACAGTGGGCCCCTCCTATATTCAGGGGATCCGTTTCGGGGATCTGATCCATGTATGAGGAAAAATTAATATGCTGGAATCCTATTGATTCTTATGGTGATGTGCTCCCCCACACAGCACTGCCTGCGCGCTCCTCTGGCTGCACATAGTTTTGTCCTCCTGCGCTTGCCGTACATATAAGCTCAAATCTGCATATGGCAAGCCTATGTATGGTGCAGGCGCACTGTAAGAAATACTTGAAGATTGCTAGGAAAGTGGGATATTTGACAGTATTGGTATTAGCCTTCAAGGAGCTGTATGTTGTCCACATTCTATTGATTGGGAACACAGTGTGAGGTTTCAATTAACAGTTGAACTGTTTAAAGTTTAACTTTATAGAATATTGAACTGTTGAGACCTATCTGATCCAGCTGTCTGAATTCAGTTCTAGATTGCTAAGGGCTCTTCACATTTTTTGTTAGAATTTACCATATATACTCTTGTATAAATCAACCTCATGCATATGTGGAGGACAAGTTTGAGGCCAAAATTATGGATTTTGTTATCGCCCATGAATAAGTCACGGATAAACTTAAGGTTATGTAACAAAGGATGTAAAGGACAAAGCAAAGGAAAATAATGCCAAAGAACTTACATAATTCCAGCAGGCATTACTGTTTGTGCTCACCCTAAAGGCTGGATGAGTGAGGAACAAACTATGGTAAATTATGGCTGTGCAATGTGGTGGTAGGTGACCAGGTGCAGGCAGGGCTAAGAAAAATGTACACATGTCAAAAAGGATGTAAAGGAAATAGTTAAGTTACAGTATTAACTCATATCAATAAAGGAACTATCCCCTTCTTTGAGTAGAGTGCTGAACAGCAAGAGCTTAGTTTGTTCCAGGAGAACCAAAAAGAAGTATTAATTCCATCTATTCTCGGATCTCCTTTTTGGGGAAGCACCACAGAGCTGTTATTTTCCCATCCAGGCATTCAAAAAGGTATACTCACCATGATGGAAAGAGTATAGGGAGTCGGTGCTTCTTTTAGGTTCTCCTGGGATGGTCTAAACTCTCATCTTTTGCTACTATTCTCAGAGAAGGGGATGGTTTCTTTTTTGATAAGAATTAAGGCACAGTACTTTTAATGACCTGTGGATAGGTTGCTGCAGGTTTTTTGGTCATTTTTTTGATTAAAATTTCCAGACTTATACATGAGTATATACAGTAACTTGTATTTCATTGTGTTTAATTACTGATACATTGCTTGTTTGGCTGTATATGTATGTCTGTGTGTTTTAGCCATATGGAGATTTTTCAAATTCATAAAATATTAACATGAATTAAAACAGTTCACTACGTCTGTTTTGTCTTTTTTCCTTCTGATTAGCTTTAGTTTCTTTTTAAAAATTGATGTATTTAAACATTATGTTCTACAGTGAGGAGCTCCGGAAAGAAGCACGCCAGCTGAAACGTGAACTACTTGCAGCAAAGGAAAAAAAGAAAGAAAATGCCACAAAACCAAAAGAAAGTAACAATGAAGGTAAGACATGAAGTAAGGGAACATGTGTTTGCACTTGTACACCAGTACATTGGGATAATTTTCTCAGGAGGGCAGGGTGCCAGATATCCTCAAGATATACAAAAATCTAGTCCATCATTTGCTCAAGAAAACAAACCTTGAACCTCAGCAAGTTATTATCACTTATTTAACTTATCCTCAGTAGTCTGCTGATTAAATTTATGGTAAAATACTTTTCTCTCAAAAGCTTCTAGAGATTTTGTCCCTTCCACAAACTCTTATTTTGCAGAACAGAAGTAAATGGGATAAAATGAAAATTGAGTTTCCTCCAATATGTATAGCGTTTCCTTTCTGGTTTTATGATATGTCCTGGGTTGAATTTCTTTTCTTTTCTTTAAAAATGGTATGTTATTGTTGTTGTCCCGTCCCCTCCCCATGGCACACATAAATAATATTGGGTTAGTGGAATATAACATTGTAAATTATGCTGAATGTAAGAACTGCCAGTTTAATTCCTAAGATAACCAGTTGAAAAATTCGCTTGCAAATTAAGTAATGTCCCACTTTTTATTTTTTGTTTTTTGGTTATTGCAAAATTAGTGGTGCTTGTGATTTTATCCAGTAAATTGCTATAATCTAGCTACCATTCATAACTTCATTATAAAGTCTAGATCAACAGTCTTGACATATTCTGATATTTATCTTTGGTCAGGATCAATACAGTATCCTGGAATTTTGTAAATCTTTCTTTCCAGATTTCTGGAAAGTTTTATTTTATTTTATTTTATTTTATTTTATTTTATTTTATTTTATTTTACAAAGTTAAAAAAATTAAGAATATATAAGGTGACAGATTCCCAGGAAATACACTCGTCACTCCACATTCACTGGGTTTAGGGGCATACAACCCTCGTGAATGTGGAAAAACCACAAATAGCAATAACACTATGTTTTTACCTGAGAGAACACTTCTTTAGGAATATCTATGTCCTCCAGTGCAACTCTGTGATCAACATCTGCCAGACATTGACCATAGAATTGCGCTGGAGGAGCTACAAATGCCTAGTGAAGTGTTCTCTAGGAATCTCTAGGTCCTTTAATGCGATCTTTTGTTAAAGTTGACCATAGAGTTGCACTGAGGATATAGATATTCCTAGAGAGAACATATTAATAAAATTCATGCATAATCAAAGCTGCAAATGTGGAGGGACGAGTGTACTGGGAATGTTAATAAGGTGATTTCTGAGGACTGAGATATATTGCTAGATTATTTTACTGTAATTCACTATTAAATTAATACATCACCCTTGCTGAAACAATAGTAAAGATCCAAATCTGTTCTCTGTTTGTTAGATTCTCCATGTCTTTGTTCACAATCCTACCTGGTGAAGATGGGCAAGGGTCCACTGAGCCAACATTAGACCAGATTAATCCTGTGCAATATCTAAGCCCCCCCTCCCCTCAGTTTAGGCATGTTGGAAATTACTCAAGTATTTTTGTGCAGAGAGCCAGTGTGGCATAGTGGTTTGGGTGTTTGACTAGGACTCTGGAGACCAGGCTTCAAATTCCTTCTCTGCTACAGAAACCTATTGGGTGACCTTGGGCAAGTCACACTTTCAGAGGAAGGCAATGACAACCCTCTTCCGAATAAATCTTGTCAAGAAAACCCCATGATGGGGTCACTTTAGGGTTGTCATAAGTCAGAAACTACTTGAAAGCATACCACAACAAACACATTTTTGTCCATACTTAACTTTGTATCACCTTTATGGCTGTGTCCCTGGGCTGGGACAGATTTGGATCTGAAGTACTTCAGCCACTAAAGTACCTCATTCCCTTCACCACCCCTTTTTGAGCTTTTATAATGGCAAATCTTAATAACTAGAGCAGTTGTACCAGCAGACTATTCTGTTGACAGATTCATGTCACCTAGATTTTATAGGTTAGGTCTATGTCATTAAATTGTGACAAAGAGCAGTAGCCAAGAATTGGTTTAGGTTGGCTTTCAAACAGCATTATTTCCTTTCATATTGGGCTGGTTCTGATGTAGCCATCACAGCTTAATAAACTTGGATTAGGGCCATACAGTTTCCCCTCACACCTTCTCTCTCTTGCCAGCTTTGCTGTTTTTATCCTGGTTAGTTTAAACCAGGGTTAGTTAGACTTCAGCCTTAAAAACATACTTCATTTTTTAAATTAAAAGCTTGAAATCTACTAAATAGAAGCAGATGCAAAATGTGACATGGGGAGTTGGCTTTAGGTCATTTAGAATTAAGGATTGCAGTCCCTCTAAGCACATGTCCAGTTCATAAATTTGTGTTCAGGATCAAAACTGATGTCTTAGTTGTTTCCCACACATGCTTACTTCTGGTTTCACTCCAGCTTTCTGTGCCTCAGCAACCTAATTTAGATGGTGGGGGAGCTTTCTTTGTCAAGCTATTCATAGTGAGAAATTTTAGATCAGATCATCACAAGCTTTACCAGTAGACACCAATCTATTTTCTGCTAACCCCTCATTTAAACCCAGTTTCCCATTACTCCTAAACCAGGAAACTGTGGTTGATTTTACTAACCAGCTTATGACACTGGAATCAAAGCATAGTATCAGTGCCTATAGTCTTTGGTAAGCTCTCAGACCCTTTAGTAGAAAACAAAGTCCTCCTATAACTGTCACAGAAGCTGGAAATCTTTAACAACTGCTTTTTCATTTGTTGCATTTTATTTTGTTTGACCACTGGGCTAAGTCTCATGCTTCAGCTGCTCCAGTATCGTCTGCTGCTTTAGCAGCACAAGATATAATTTTCAAGCCTCTTTCAATCTTTCTTTTGTAATCCTGCTGCCAAACCAGGCTTTAAAAATGCATTAAAATACCTTGGGCTGTGCAGTGCCAAAAGCTTGCAAAAGTCAAACCGCATAAACCCAATTTAAACAGTAGGCTTATTCCCAATGTTATATACCATCTGTAATAAAAACAAGAAAGAGCCTTGTGGCACATTAAAGACTAACACATGTATTTTGTGTCATAAGCTTCGGAGGGCTAGAGCCATCTTTTTCAGCTGCATTGGTGATAAGTGTGCTAAGAAAAGAAAGAAGATTCTTGGTATTGCAGATCAACACACTGGTAGTATTCACTCATAACAGTAAATCAGCATTCTTCTTTGAATGTGTACAGTCTCTGTGTTTGTACACATACCCTGTTCATACCCTCTTTGCTGTTTGTAAGCGAGTAAAACAAATCAAGAAAGAATAGTTTTTATTGGGACATCCAAATGCAGGATCCTGGCCTGTTGCTCCTAAATAAGCTGATATTATTAAGATGGCTTTAAAGCAGCTTTTGTTGTTGGGTTACAAATCTTGGCTTGTTTTAAAGGGAAAACAATACCCACAATATCACTTTAAGATGTCATTTATGGGCCATTGCTACCTAATTTCTTTAATCGGCTTGTGTAAAGAAAGGAGCTAAATGGGACTTCCTCATGTTGCTTGTTCTCAGTAAACCTGAATAAGCCACAATCTTGGCTTATTGTTACTTGTGAATGTGATTGCTTCCTACTATGTTGTTGCTGGACAGTAACAACAGAGTATCTCATGCTGTAGGATGCCAAAAAAGAAAGGGGTGGTGGTGTTTCCAGCAGATACAGAAGCCATAGTGTTCATTGAGTCTGGTGGAGATGAGAAGGAATAATTAGGTAAATGTGAGTGGAAACACTCATGAGACTTCAGTCTCAGAAACTGAAGTAGGAGTCTGGAGAGTACTAATGTGAGTTACCTGGCAAAGAACACAAGGTAGAGAGGAATGACCACTTTGGAGCTAAATAACTACAAAGCCAGGCAAAAAAAGGAAGGAACATTAGGATCAGTGAGTCTGGCTTTGTGGTAGGCACTAGCTTATGGCACATAAAAACCTACTTGTTCTTTCTAATGGACTGTTTTTAACTTCTTTCAATTTTATTGGGAGTTTAATTATATTTTAACTTTTGTACAATGTGATTTTTTTAGCTACCTCTATTTACTTTTGTAAGATCCTTGGGTCCAAGATTGGAAAAAAGGCAGGAAGGAGAAGGAGGAGAAGAAGAAATAATGAGCTGTCTTGAATGCATATTTCAACTAAAATTTTTCAAATTATGTAGTCTGACATTAAGAAACTTGCACTATTTTTCCATTAAAGAACAGAAGTGATGCCATCCTTCCCTCCCACAAACCAGAATCTGTTGTTGTGTACCTTGAAGTCATTTCCACTTACACTGGAGTTTTCTTGGCAAGACTTCTTCAGAGAGAGTTTACCTTTGCCTTCCTCTGAGGCTGAGAGGGTGTAACTTGTCCATGGTCATCCAGTGGGTTTTCATGGCCAGAGTTGTAGTTCAACACCACCCTGGCTCTTCCAACCCAGAATAGTTTACCATAATAGCCTGAGAGTCCTCTCTGGTTACCCCATTCTGGATAGCTTGGTTTGTTCATTTTCTTCACACCTTTTTTCTAAATTATATTGCTCAATCTTCCTCCTATTTTGTGAATTTAAATACTTGATACAAATTGTCATGCAGCAAACCTAAACCCTGTAGACATATAGATTTAGGTAAATGTTAATCTGCTTTGGGAAGATAAAGTGTCAGTTCCTTTCTGGTGCATTATCAAAACAATGCCTCACTTGTCAATTGTCAAAATATAGGCTAGAAGGAGCAACCTGAGCTTTGGAAATAAAGAGAGGATTAAAAACAGTGGTTATGTGAGATAACACCTGAGGCAATATAGAGGTCACATTCAATCATTTAAAAGTTTCCAAGTTACATTTTAAGGGAGAATTACATAACAAACAGTGCCATGTTACCATATAAAGAGGCCTGTCAATAGTTATTTGGATTATGGCTTTTTAAAATGAATGTTATTATCAAATTGGAAAAAAAATATATTAATTTGAAAGCTAAAAAGATAATATATCACATCACCTTGTTAATTGTTATTATAGACTACATGTACTGATATTGGGGTGGGTGGGAGGAATATACTGGAGCACACAGCTTTATACCGGGGGCCAGACTTGTGTCCTGCAGATGTTTTTGCGTACTCCAAGTGGTTGGACTTCTACTTCCATCAGCCAAGACAGCATGGCCAGAAGCCAGGGATGATAAGGGATGGACTCCAAAAATTTCTAGCAGGCCATATATTCCCTAATCACACATTATATAATTTAGTAGTAACTCATTCCATGCTGCACTTAGCTGCCATCCCAGATGTCGAGTTATTATTTCATGTAAAATAGGACTGGGCCACTTCCAAGAATCAGAGGACCACACCAAGCCTCTCTGGGAGCAAGTAGGGGCACCCACATCACTGTGCTCCCTGTTGTTGTGCTGTGACTTCATGTCATTTCCAGTTTATGGCGACCCTCTCAAGAGTTTTCTGGGGCTGAGAGTGTGCCCATGGAAACTTGCCCATGAGCACCCAGTGGGCTTTTTAGTCAAGCAGGGAATCAAATCCTGTTTTGCCCAAATATTGGCCCAAAGTGGCCAGTTATGACTTCAAAAGCCAGGAGATGGAATTAATCAATTCAGGCCATGGGCTAGGCCTATTTTAGACTTTAGTTTTGAATAAAGCCTGCCAGGCTAAAATAGGCCTCTTGCCTCTTGCAATTTATGTCCGCTAAACCCTTCCATGGTATTATTGGCATTTTGTTCTTTTCAGTTTCATTTTGCTTTGTTTGCAGAAGGTTGAAGGTTAAAGGATACATAGAGCTGCCCTTGCCCACCCAGTATGGAAGATTAAGAGGCACAGTGGCTTGCCTGTTGGACTACCAACTCTGGAGACCAGGGTTCAATTCCCCACTCAGCCATGAAACCCACTGGGTACCCTGTACAGGTCACATGCTCTCAGCCTCAAGGGAAGGAAATGGCAAACCTACTCTAAATAAATCTCACCAGAAAACCCCATGATAGGTCTGCTTTAGGGTCACCATAAGTCAGACATGACTTTCAAACACACACACACACAGAGTCTCTGATAGCAAGCTAATGCTGGCTTAAATTTGGGGAGTGGCTATCAGGTCTGGTTGCTGTCAATTAGCAGTGAGATGAAGATAATTACTGTAGGAGTGTTTCAAACCCTGCTCGACCATAAAATACATTGGGTGACTATGCATTAGTCACCTTTTCTCAGCCTAATCTTTGTAACTGTATTATGCTGAAGATAAAATGGGGTTGGGGGCGGTGCAGAGGAGAAGCATGTAACCACACTGGTTTCCTTCTAGAAGGGATGAGATAAAAAGGCAATCAGTCAGTCAATCCAAGCATGAAGACAGTCTGTAGTCAGAAAGAAGTAATTGCAAGACCAATTTGTCTTAGATGATCAGACCTGGTGGGAAAGCATGGCATGAAAGTATTTACAAGCATCAAATAGGTTGTGAAGTCGTAGGCTTTCATGGCCGGCATCCATAGTTTTTTGTGGGTTTTTCGGGCTGTGTGGCCATGTTCTAGAAGAGTTTTTTTCTGATGTTTCTCCAGCATCTGTGAAGATGCCAGCCACAGATGCTGGCGAAACGTCAGAAAGAAACTCTTCTAGAACATGGCCACACAGCCCGAAAAA